GTTTGAAACAGCAGCGTCTTTGACGAAAATCTGATTTTTAGGTATACAAATTTTTCTAGACTTTTTTTTTGCATGTTCACGTTTGAAGATTTTGAGAATGCGCAAATACTCCCCTATCAAACGATAAGTTTTGTACGTTCTTATATCTTTTCTGGCACTTCAAAATAAGGAGCAGGCATTAATTTTGCATCAACTTACTGATTTGCTATCAGTACTTGAATGATTTGCTAATCCCTCAAGTCACGATGTACATTACAGCGATATTTTCGAGGATTTTACTACATCTCCAGTAGAACTGCTTGAGCAGAAGTGGATGTAATCCAGCAGCACTTCAAATCTTATTTCAGTGAGTTTTGTATTCAACGGATCGATACAAAAGCACGGTGATTTTAGCGTTTTTCTATGTTGATGACAGCATGCAAAAAAATCTGATCAAAGCGCCTAATATCCGCCTAATTTGGCAAGATGGTATATAATGTTGCTCTGGTTTCCTGAAGAACATCAGGTGAGAGAGACTTCAGATGCAGCACGCATAAAGGTCTTCCAATGTACGGGCCAACTATTACGATTGTCTTATAAGTTTTTTTTCCATATGACGATGATTTCCTGTAGACTCAAATTCTTGATCAGGAGCCAAACGACAACTATTATATTCAATAGATTGATGGACTTTACAAGTTACCTTGCGATCACTTGCAGAAAGTTTGACCTACGGAAGTGTGAAGCCAAAATGTAATTTCTAATTATTAGGTTGTCCCACAAGTCTTACATTTTCAAGTTTGCGCTGTGATATGTCAGATACCTCTTGTTCTAAGTAGACATTAGGATACGATTCGATAGAGCAAAGCAAGCTCTATAAGAAGAAGTCTACGATTTTGCAGCAGCTTCGATCGAGCTCGATTTCTGAACCAAAAACTAAAAAGTTTCGGATGACCAAAAAATTGAAAATTTTATATATCTTCGTTCAAAAAAGTCCTACAGATCTCTCACTCGCTCACGCATATACACTCCACATCAGACATTCATGTGCTATTGCTGTATTTTTTTATCAGTTAGAAATCAAGAAACCAAAAATTTCCATGTTTTTGCCAAAGTAATGCTGTGCTGTTCTAACACTGACATTTGTATACTACAAGCCCCTAGAAGTATAAACGTAAATTTTTAGCTCTCCATACGCTCTGGTTTCCGAGAAATGTTGTTAAGCGTGAAACCTGAGCGAAGAAAGCTAAATTCGATATTACTCGGGAACTAGAGCTTATGGAGAGCTAAATATTTACGGTTATACTTCTGAGAACTTGTAGTATACAAATGTCAGTGTTAGAACAGCACAGCACACAATGGCAAAAACATAGAAATTTTCGGTTTTTTGTTTTCTAGCTGATAAAAAATACAGCACCAGCACGTGGAGTGTATATGCGTGGGAGAGTGAGAGATCTGTAGGACTTTTTTGAACGAAGTTATAAAAAATTTTCGATTTCTTGGGCATCCGAAACTTTTATAGTTTTTGGTTCAGAACTCGAGGCCGATCGAAGATGGTCCAAAAGCAAAAAAGCCATCTTATACAGAGTGTCCCAAAAAGATGTGCACACTGTTTGATTGTTAATAAGTCTTTTGCTTTTATGTCTGTTGCCGAGCTTGAGGTGCCATTCTGTAGAGCGAGGGTAAACTTAGATTTACAGTAAGGAGCAAATCACCAATCACTCTTTATTACTATATGATCACAGTATAAAACTTTCAGCTTCGGCGTCACTATGGAATAAGCTTTTGATGAAATGATTTCAAAAAAATCTACAAATTTGTGTAGCAAGGTTTTCAGGCGTGCTAATTTCACTACATAACTTTCTAGCAGTGTTTCGAGCTTTTTCGGTGGCGTATTCACATTTCTGACGAACATTGGAAAATTAGTTGTTACCCCAAACCTAAAGTAATTCATGAAAGGAACAGTGTACTGACGTGCAATTTTCAAAATTAAAATCAGCGACTTTGATCAACCCAGTTCAAGAGTTTCTGGCTTGTTTGGCTTCCTTTCTAAGGCAAACACCGCTTTCAATGGCAAAAAATTCTCCTCGAAATTCCTACCGTAATCCTACAGTGATGAAGAGCTGCTGATAAGTCGCTCCATACTGTAAATCTAAGTTGAACCTCGCTCTAAAAAATGGTACCTCAAGCTTGGCAAAAGACATGAAAGCAAGAGAGTTATTAACGATCAAACAGTGTGCACATATTTTTGGGACACCCTGTAGAGCTTGCTTTGCTCTATCGAATAGTATTCTAATGCTTATTTAGAACAAGGAGTGTCTGACTTATCACAGCAAAAACTTAAAAATAAAAAGACCTATGGGACAACCTAATATGTTCCAATGCGGAGTACCACCAGGGTTGTATTAAGAACCTTGAATTTATTGCTTTAACAAACTTGTGACTTGGGATACTAACATGCTTTTGAGCATTGTCAGGCCACTAATTCCTCTCCCCATCCTCCAACAACCTTCAAAGAGATCTATCCTCGTCCTCCTCCCCAACTACAACTCTCCCAAATAATGTGTTGCGAAAATTCAGGTAGTGGTTTTTCTGAGTTACAAGACTATGCAAAAACTTGTTTCTTGTAAATATTAAGCTGTTCCAAAGTACTTGCTCTGCATTTTCAAATAATCCTGTAAACAGCTTGATTTCTGCTTTCATATGGGATTCTCTTTGAAGGAATCCATTGAGGTACGAAGAAGTTATGTTTTTTTTTGAAAACACGGCGCAAAAACTTTTGGGAAAACCTAGTATTGAAGTCTTGTTAAACACATGAAAGCAAATTAACTTTGTGAAACCAGAAGATAATACAGTGCGTACGATGTCTGCTTTCCTTCTCCCCTCAAATTTCTCGAGCCACTTCCTCCCATCCCTTGCTTTCAAGTATTGACGCGACCGAGCACGTCTTTAGTTTGTAAACTCTGAGTATGATGGGCCTTGGAAAAGGCTGGTTTACGCTATTTCCGTACTATGTAAGTTCAGCTTTCGAAATTAGCGTCGAATCGCTCTTAAGAAGCAAAAAATTTTGTGGAAGATTTCGAGCCACTGCTTCAAACTAAACACTTTCATAGATCCATTTGCTTGATTCAACCATCATTGCTTCTCTGACTCTCAAATTTTTTGTACAGCTACATCGAAGTGTGAAACATTTGCAGCACCTCCGACCTCTCGTCATAATCGAAGATGAACAATCACGTGAAGTTTTTGCTTTTGACAGCATTGAGAGTCAATCTGCTTTAATGAAAAGCTGGTTTGCAGAGTTAAGAGCTTTTTCACATGTCATGCAGAAGTCATAAAATCTCGTGAGCTTTCTTTTGAGGTGAAGAACGCTCTTAGAAACTTCGCGTAATCGCTGATCTTGACAGACAGCTGCAAAATCACCATAAAGTAAACACTTTTCTACAAAACTCGATGTTCAATATTTAGGTGCTGACTCGATTTACTACATGGCCTATATGATGATGCGGTTTTGCAAAAACTCTCAAACTGTTGTGATGCAATCGCGTTTTCAAATTTCAAGCCTTTCATGAACATTCCCCTGAGCAGTAGATTGGGCATAAGCCAAAATCTCACTATTCATCTTGTTTCTCGATAATAAAAGTGAAGAACGCATTTATAGACTTTCGTAATCGTTGATGTTGAAGGACAAGCTCTGAGATCACCGGAGACTGTTACGCTTTTATATCCGAAAACTTGGTTTTTAAAACTTGTACGAAAATGAAGCCGTGTGCACATTAGAAAAACAATAGGTGCACTGGGCATTTTGGATCCACACTTGTCATACTTGGAGAAGTGATCGAAGCACCCTGCTCAATTACAAATCAGACCACCAAGTCAAATTGGAAAACCCTCAGAGCTTCAAAATCTTAGTTACTCTTGACTAACTCGCAAAACCTGATTCAAATCAAAGAGGAGGTTGAGGGTTATGTCCAATCTCTACTCACAGCGAATTTTCACGAAAAGTAATTTAAATCTGAAGGCGATTGCATCACAACATTCTGAGAGTCTCAGCAGAACCGCATCATCAATTAGGCAGTATAGTAAGTGAACCTCAGCACTTTCTAAATATCGAACATCGAGTTTTGTGGAAATGTGTTTACCTTTGCTGTGAAGTATGTCCGACAATATCTGCGATTACGCAAAGTTTATAAGAGCGTTCTTCACCTCTTTTATCAAGAAAGCTCAGAAGCTTTCGAGACTTTTGCGTGGCATGCATAAAAGCTCGTCAACTCAAACCAGCTGTTTGAAGCAGATTGGCTTTAAGAGCTTTTGAGCAATAAATGCAATGGTGGCTGAAAAAAGCAAGTGTATTTATAGTAGTGTCCAGCCTGATCAAGGCTTTTTTGAAAATTTCTCTTTTTCACCGTTTCAGATCAACGAGATTGAGAGCCGTTTTGATGAATGATGGTAGGCTTGCATGTATACAACGCGACAAAATTTTAAATAAATCCAGTAACAAAAAGGCAAATCATGGCGATATCGAGAGTGGACAATAATTGTGTTTAGCACTGTATTGCTCTTCAAAGCTTACACCATCTGGAATGTAAATGTGAAGTAAACGATGGTTCAGTAGTCGTTTCATCAAAACCCCTGTTCTGCAGTTCTCGATGGCCATATCTAACTAACTACACAACACTGATGCTATCTCAAAGTTTGGTCTATTTTGCGCCATACTGTGACTAAGCAGGTCATGGTGTCTTTGACAAGTGTACTGGAGAATAAGTTTTTTGTAATCTTAGGAAAGACCAAGCTTAGCAAGTCGTAAAGCTTCTTGTACCAGATTTGAAGCCACATTGATTTCAAAATTTTCGAATCGGCCGAAAAAACATGTCATAATACGACATCGTGATAGCGGTTCCTCAGCATACTTTGGCGGTCAAAAAAACGTGAGTCTTATAAGGATAACTGCCATGACAAATACAATCGATCATCCACCAGTATAAAACACCTTCAAATCAGGACTCTAGCATTATTATCAAATGTTTTCGTCTGTGCACGTTGTTCCCCTTATGGCTATTACTGCTCGCACCCAAGCGCTCAAATGTTACTCAGGTGTGTTAGTTGTATCAAATCGTAAGCCTACTCGAACAAACAAACAACCTTGCAGGCCGTCTTTTTGAGTTTTAGGACTTTTGCGAATTCAAAAAGATCAAGACCCTCTATAACCATATAGTGGTACAAGCTCACACCAAATTCCTTGAAGACAGTGCCCCAGCAAATTGCACTTCCACATTTCTGCTTATTTCAGGGCTTTTCGACACGCAGAACTCGAATTTGAGCTCTGAAGGTGGAGACCATTTTGGAGCGTTTAGCCACTTTCCAAAAGTCACACGAGAGTTTCTATGGAAAGTTGGGAGACTCTCGCACGAAGACCCTGTCGCCTGTAGTTTTTACTTTGAATGTCATGCACAATGCGGGAGCTGTCATGGGGTCCCGCGCCAAACAGGTGCGAGCCGTTCGAGCATGCGCCGACTGGGGTTGCGCGCGTCAGTTCCAGGGCTATTTTCTCGGCGCAGGGTGAACATTAATCAGCCGGACGGCCTAAAGATAAATGGGTTGACCAGGAACCCCACCACACTATATCACCCAGGGAGCAAATCTGCCAGTACACTGCCTTTAAGACCGTGTTTTTGAATTTTCAGCAAGGAGGTGTTCGTCCGAAAATCAAAACTCGAAACCCTTTAAATGCACTCTAATTAGAAAATGGCAAATGATCTGGCCCGAAAGGAGGTGCATGTCACCAGACGCGCCTTCAAACGCTGATTTCAAATCTGCTTTTCTTTTTTACGAAGCAACTTTCCGGAAGAAGTCATAAGCTTTCGGAAGTCTAAAACTGTCAAATCTCAAGTGGCAAAAAAGGTGAAAACCAGTCCAAAACGCCTGCAAGTGGGCAAATTTGTATCACCTATATTGACCACAAGGAAGGATCACAGGTCAAAATCCCCATAATGTTTTTGTACACGTTAATTTTACGCCACTGGTTGGAAAAATGTGAGCTAAATAATCTTAACTTCTTTCAGGAAGCTGTTCACAGAAAAAAGAGGGCAGATTTGGAATCAGCGTTCAAAAGCGCGACCAATAGTATACATTTCATTTCAGTCTATCAAATCTTGTCTTTTCCCTGCTTGAGGACCCGAACAAATCGGACTTGACAGTGGTCTCCCTCAGGTCCCTGAACAGGTATGAGAGCATGTGCGAGAGATTGATAAATATTGCTCCTAATCGGGAAAGGTCTTCTTCAGTCTTTCCGAGTGGTCATTTTTGCGCACTTTGGCTCGTTCAAAACAACAGACGGCAAGATAGTGCTTGTTGTTCGTAAGCACTTTATCATTGTTTTTTTTTCACCTCCTCAATCGCCCGACTTAGCGATTGCGAAAAGAACAAGCAAATCAAAAGAAACTCAAATAATACCCAAGCGTACGAGAATATTTGCCTTTAAATTGATTACCGGAAAAAATAACGCTACCGGCTGTTGAGCTACAATAGAAGAAAGCAAATTAGTCTAGGTGCATGTAGATAAGGTTGATCATCCTACATCAATCCTCTATGCAAAGCACTGCTCAAAGTAATATGGTTCCAATCCTTACTTTGCATTGTTGGATTTCCAATAATTTCTATTAGGTGGTTCAAAAGTTCTGGGACATTTTCAGACGAGATCTCTATCTCTCGAAACTCAATGCATATACATCCGATAGAGCTACCATTCGACAGAGCAAAGCAAGCTCTACAAGATGGTATGCAAAAGTTCGCACCAGCTTTGACCCACCGTAAGTTTGCACCCAAATTCTGAGTCGGACTGAAATTCAAAAATCGCAAAAAAAATTCATATCTTTGTTCAAACAAATCCTACGGATCTCTGAGTTGCTCACAAAAATCGCCCACCATATTAGCTACTCATTTGTATTGCTACTGTATTTTTCCCTATTTGGAAATCGGAAACGAAATTTTCATGATTTTACAAACGAAGCTAGGCTGTTTCCATTTATGTAAATGTATTTTAAGTACAACCGTATTTTTAGCTTTCCGTAAGGCCTAGTTGTAATAAGTTGTTCTATAGAATCGATCGACGGTTTAATTGTCCGTAACATATTCTTCGCACCTTCGCATCTGCGAGGTGCGAACTTGCCTCGCCGCAGCTGCTCAGACAATCGCCGGGGGCAGGCGGGCACCGGAAAAATAGATTGCTGATTTCTCGCACCCCACTCGCGGATTTTTTGCAAAGCAATCAGGACTTTTCGGAAGACCGCCTGCTGAGTTCTCGATTCCTCAGAGATTCAGCAATATATCTGCAAAAGATAAGAGCGAAAAAAAATTCAACAGGCGGTCTCTCAAAAATCCGCTGACTCAGCAAGCGGTCTTCCGAAAAGTCCTGATTGCTTTGCAAAAAATCCGCGAGCGGGGTGCGAGAAATCAGCAATCTATTTTTCCGGTGCCCGCCTGCCCCCAGCGATTGTCTGAGTGGGTGCAGGTGCACTCAAGCGAACTTAGTGAACCAAATAGGCGCATATAATCAATCAGCTCATTCTTCTGTGACGATGGAGGGACATATATATACAGGGTGTCCCAAAAAATGTGCCTACTGTTTGATTGTGAATAACTCTCTTGTAATGGAATATTTCGAAAAGTTTTAAGTACCTTTCTGTAGAGCGAGTTTGAACTTAGATTTACAGTATGGAGCGAATCATCTATCGCTCTTCATTACTGTAGGATTACGGTAAGAACTTCCAGCATATGGAGCCGTTGTGAAATATACCACATAACAAAAATTCTTTCAAAAAATCTGAAAAACTGTGTGCTAGGGTTTTCGCGCATGCTGATTCCACCTAATAACTTTTTATGAGTGTTTTCAGCTTTTTTGACGGTGTAATTTTACATTTTTGACAAATGCTGGGAATTGAGTTATTACGAATTACCGGGGATAACTTAGAAAGGAAGCAACACAGTAAAATGGGAATTTTAAATTCAAAATCAGTGGCTCTCATTACCGTAGTATGAGAGTTTTTGGCTTGTTTGAACTTGTTCCGAGGCAGAATATAGCCTCCAAGGGCCTAAAATCCTTGTCGAAGTTCATACCGTAATCCTACAGTAATGGAGAATGATAGATGATTCGCTCCATACTGTGTCTAAGTTTGACCTCGCCCTACAAAGCGGTACCTAAGGCTTTTCGAAACATTTCATCACAAGAGAGTTATTCACAATCAAACAGTAGGCACATTTTTGGGACACCCCCTATTTCTGGAAAGCTTATTGCGTGTAGATTCCGAATATACAGAGTGCCCCAAAACTACAGGCGCCAACTTTACAAACGCTGCCACGAAGGAACCATTGAAAAAAACAAGGTCAAATTTGTGCTATAGAAGGCACTAATCAATCTCTACAAAATACATTTGATTGAATTTAAAAAGATCCCTACTGAAGGATTTGAGAATCAAAAGAATCTGAACAGTATTTCCAAGAAAGGCAAAAATGAAATCTCTATACTTCATAATTTGCTTTGTAACTGAATAAACTCAAAGCCTTTCTTGGCATACCGAAAATACAATAATTTTTGGCATGCCATCTCTCAACCATGTTTATGAAAAATCAGAAATCTTTTCGAACTGACTTTTAAATTTCCATACTTAGCTGTTTTGGAGACAAAGGCTTGCCCTATTTTCCTGCATAATTATAAAGCAAGATAAAATCCTGTTGAAAAGATTTTACGTAAATTCTTAAAGTCATGCTTGCGTACAAAGCCCACTTCGGTCGGCGAAAGGAATTGGGATTTTTTCGAGAGATAAAGCAGCCAAATTCTGATTTGGCTATCGCATTACCATAATGATGGTTAATGACACAAACTCATACTCGATCCATCCTCAAGCCCGTCTGGTATCCTTCTGGCACCAAAGAAACACGCGCCGGTAATTTTGGCACACCCTGTATAAAAATTGTGATGTTTGGTGAGATTCCAGGAAACGGTTAAAAATCCCTAATGTGACTCTGCAGTTTCAGTCCATCTCGCTGCGGTTGGTACCACAAGAAAGCACACATACGCATACGCATATCTGATAGTATCAAATAAGTTGCCCATGAATACAGATTCTTCGACTTACGTATCTTCAACATGTGAACTTTTCGCTCTGCTAGAATATTTTTTATTGAAAACAAAAAACTTCTAGACCTTTAGAACCTCATGAAAATCAAAGAGAAAGGTCCTTCCATAGTAAGCAATGATTTGCACCATAAAATCTCATTGATTGTGAGCTATACAGCGATTTCTAAGCCAAAAACCCCAGGACCGTGGACGTTTGTGTGACGTCATCGGAAAAATGAAGAAAATTGTGTTTTCGAATACCAAAATATGGTATTAGATAGAGCGAAGGACGCTGATTCCGAATATGTGTCTCTTTATACTTGAAAATGAGTTTAAGGAAGCTATGCTGTTGCGGCTTTTCCGGCGCAAAATCGCGCTTAATCCGTGTTTTTAACGGCGGCGGCGATAGTACTGTAGTTAAGTTTTTTGAGCAAACAATAGAAAGCAGCATAAATCTGCTTCACTTAACTTCCTTCCTCGAAAAGCTTTTGATAAATCATAACCTTTGGATAGAAATGCTCAATTACCACAAAATTTTTTCAGACATAAAGAGCAGGTTACGACACTCTTATGAAGAACTACTTCGATCTTTAATACAAGTTTTGAATTTGGTATCACTTCACAGAAAAATCAAAGTTGGAGTGTTTTTTCCTAACTTTTACTTCTGCAGTGTTTGCTTGAATCTCTCGAATGTTTTTGCGAATTGCATAATTTCCTGTTTCAAAAAGCTTAAGAATGTGGCAATCCTTTGAGAAAGTAAGAAGTGATAAATTGAAAATGATGCGGACAAAGTTTTGGTTGAACCCAATATATAGCCGGCTCCAGGTTCCGAACGTAATCCTACAATAACGAAATTCGTAAAAGTTTCCATATTGGAAATCTGTGATGAAAGGACAGAGTTAGACTAGCCAAAATCATAGGTAATTTTTACTTTGTTGTAAATTTCTCGAATATTTACGGCGGATTTTAAAACAAAATTTTGCGATTTTCCAGAACATTAACAGTCGGTTTCATCCCGGATTATGCGAGACATTCTACGTGAAGCAACGCATGCGCATCGCTGGAGGCATTGCGAGCGCATAGCGCTGGTATTTTGCTCAGCAAAGACTAAGGAGATTGGAGAGACGCAGACAGCATGGGTTCTCAGCACGATAGGATATAGTGTAGCTGCGAAACGGTGAGAGCTGTTGCGAGGCGGACTCCCGGCAATCCAATTTCCGCCTAAAGCGGGTCGAAACTTACTGTAGTTTGCTTTAGTCACCCAACTCGGCCTTCGCTTAGAGACTTTTGTTTCGTTCCGCATGCTGATTTGAAGTAATTTTTAAAATTGCTTAACTGTATTTAGAGGGAGGATGCATCTTGCTTTGATACTGCTGTTGTTACTTGTTTTGCAAGTACAGTGGAGAAGATTATGCAGAAAAGGTAAATATGCATAAAGTCCTTGCTATGCCAGATTAAGGGCGAGGGGGATAAAATTTGAGCGTGAACAAATTCCTACGCCTAAAAGCCGAGATTTTGCATGCGCAGATAGCCGGCTTCAGGCGTAGCTATAGGTCTTTCGCGAAATCTGACGACGGATTTGACTGCGACCTTTCTGCTCACAGGAGCATAACACGCTCATACGAAGAGGCCCCACCTTAACGCTCAGCTCAGTCATTTCCTGGGTCTCTAAATAATATTATACTCAAGCAGAAAAACCATTCGAGCAAACATGAGAACCAGCAAATGAGGTTGCCGGCGTGGTGGTGCGTGCGTGTTGCGCGCGGTCGCGCCATCGTCACGATTCTTGAATGCCTTTTGACTGTTCGAGAGCAACTTTTACCACCCAATCACCGCACCGTAAGGCGCCAATATGGTGTGCCAAAATTACAGCGCCAACTTTACAAACAGTCCCCCGAAAAAACCGCTTAGAAACACAAGCTCAAATTCGTGCATAGGAGGCATCAAGCAATCTTTACAAAAAACATTCAAAAAATTTAAAAAGACCTATATTTAAAAAAGTGGGAACTAAAAGAATCTAAACGGAATTTTTATACCATCAAGATTTGCTCTGTAACTCAAAACTCTGAATGAACTCGGAACCTTTCTCGACTTTTCTGAGCTGAAATTGTAAAGCACAACTTGTACTATCTCATAGCCCTCACTGCATATGCAGATGTTCCTCCACAAAATAAAAAACGTGTTTGCGAAAACTACCTGCGTATGAGCAGCGACCTTTTGTTCGAAATCGATAAGGCCCAGACATGCAAATTCTTTAAATATAAAACAATCCTCTTATTATGAAACATGTAGAAGAGTATCTATCATGACTGATTAGTCAGGACGGTTTTAACTCGAGTTTAAAATGTATTTTCTGATGGCGCACTCAGAAAGGCCGAAATTAACCAATTTTCGTTATGCTCCTTTTCAACCATGCATACAGGATGTCCGTAAAGTATGTATACACTGTTTGATCGTTAATATCTCTTTTCCCAAGAAGTCTTTTGCCTTGCTTCAGGTGCCATTTTATAGGGCTGGCTTCAACTTAGATTTCAGTATGGAGTGAATCACCCATCTCTCTTCATTACTGTAGGATTACGGTGGAAGCTTCAAAGAGGGTTTTGAGCCATGAAAGGCCATATTTTGCCTCAGAAACGAAACAAAACAATCTGAAAACCTTTACACTAGGCTAATTAGAGTTGCTGATTCTAACTGTAAAGTTTCCAACTTATTATGATGCTTCACTGAAGAGTTATGCCAGGTAAGAGGTAGCGGCCATTTTTTGAATGTTCCTAAAAAATGCGGTTGCACCGTTTAGAAAGCTTCGCAATCTTGTGAATAGTTGAGTATTGAATTCAACGTCCATAAAAACCCTATTACACAAGTTGTCACATCTTTTTGAAAATTTTTGAAACGGTAGCTTTTTCCACATTGACACCATATGTTTCAAGTTTCTACCGTAATTCTACAGTAATGAAGAGAGGTGGGTGATTCACTCCATACTGCAACTCTAAGTTGGAGCCAGATCTACAAAATGGTACCTGAAGCAAGGCAAAAGACTTCTTGGGAATGTATACATACTTTACAAACACCCTGTATAATTGAAAAATCCTCTTCTACATCATTAAATCATCGTACTTAGCAGTATTAGCGGCTAAGGTTTGCTCTACTTCCGCGCAATTACAAACAAGAGATAAGGTTTTCAAAACTTCCAAACTCACGATCCCGTACAAAATAGACTTCAGTTGACGACGAAGATTGAGCTCTCAAATATAGAGCAGCAAATTTTGATTTGAATATTGCGCATCCAACATGAACGATAGGTTGTGATAGCGGTGCTGCTAGAAACATTTGCATACCTGAATCCTCAAGCCCTTCTAGTATCCTTCTGGCACCCAAGGAAACAGCGCCGGTAATTTTGATGCACCCCTGTATATGATGTAAAATATATCGATGTAAAATCGATGGAGTGGCAGCAACCTTTGCAAACAACGCCTTTCTGCTATAATAGAAGTTGGGATCCTAAAATGCTAGAAAGACTTGCAATGCAGCTTGCAAAAAATATAAGGTGAGCCCTGCGCGTTCTTTTATTTTTGCAGTAAAAAATATTCAGTTTAGAAATGACTGGCTACTGCACCAGATGCAGCGATGTCTGCGCTGTCCCATGCATAAGACTATCTGGCATACTATCAAAGCTGTTTTGAAATCTACACCATGGTTCAGAACCATGAGAAATCCTTTGAAAAAAAATCTTGCTTGCTAAAGAGTGCATGACAAAAAGCAGCACTCTTCTCTTAGCATTAAACTTTGATTGCGATTTCAGGGGAATTTTGAGCCATTTTTAATTTCAAAAAATCAGTTGCAATTGCTTGCTCATTTGGAAGACATTTGAAAGATGGAAATGGTTAATCTGTTATACATAGCCTTTCAAAAATTTGTTAGCTTGAGCGCAAGCTTTCTGCGCTACGGAACAAGGAAACTCGATTAACTTGAGTTTCCTTGCTTACTTGGCTGCGACTTTAGCAGCCTTGTACATACATAGCTAGCAGTGGCGTACCCAGGATTTCGGCTCGGGGGGGGGAGGGGCGCGACAAAAAAAATTTTTCAATGAAGGTGCGTGGCATTAGCCACGCACTCCGAAAAATTTTTTGGGATGTTTCCCAAAATAAAAGGGGCGTGGCGGCAGCCACGCCCCGGAAAAATTTTTTTTTACAGGGCTAATTTAAAATTTTTTAATTTTTTAAAAATTATTTCAATTATTTACAAGTGTAAACAAGCCCTCTGCACACTTTTTATAACACATTTAAGTGACTTTCGAAAATTTCGCGACCCATTCTCGGGGGGGGGGGGCCGTTCCCCCCCCTCCCTCGGTCCGCACTGATAGCTAATATCGTCATGTTTTGTTATTAATCGTCATTATCTATAAATCATTTTACAAAGTATTGAAATGAGTAGATATTTTTCAACCTGCAGTTCTTCAATTTTGAATTGACTGAAATATCACAATACAAATACACAAAATACACATTTCAGAATTCTACTTTCTCGGTAATCGATTGACTAAACATGTCGGTATTGAAGTACTAGCCGGTGTAGGTTTCCAGGGTCCTTTTCAGCATTACGTGAAAATTACTCCCTCTTCTACACAAGGTTTCCTTATCCCTGCTACGTCAAGTTCCCCCCCCCCCCCCGCCCTTGTCCCGGTTTGGTGACCAGAGATGGTCCAGACGTGGAGGCAGATTAGTACTGTGCATGTTCTTGCAAAACTCGCTGATGTAATAATGCTAAATTGTAGATAGTGACCGTTTTTGCGCTGTTAGACACGAACAAATTGGCACTCAAATGCGTATGTTAACCCTTGACTTCGGCTGAAGTGACGAGAGCAACATATTGAGACTCTCGAAGTAAGGAAAGGGACAGATGGCTGTAATTTCATTTTTTTGGTTGTAAATCCATACAGTAAGCAAGTTGGATGTTGCATTTCTAAACTTACGCAGAAGTAAGTGGTGGTGCGAGGAGACTTACACCTTTGCTGGAATTTAAAACTCAGCGTTTCTGCGTGTGTAATAGGATAAAATATGGCACATTATTAGTTGTCATCTGCCTCGCCAATGCTCTCGTAAAGATGTTCAAAAGCGTATGTACCGAATGTGAGAATAGCGGCTCTTCCTAAAGAAATAAAACAGTTTGAAGGGCCTTATAATTTCTTTTGATTATAGAGGTATTCTCCCAATTTTTGAGAAAGAACCGACGAACTGACGGAGGAAAGTGTACAAGCTGGCATTCAAATCTGCTAGTATTTTTCTACGGTATCATACCATATCTAACTTGAATGAATTTCCTTGAGAAGAGTTCAATTTTATGCCACAAAAATGGACGATAGCGTGGGTGAATCCAAGAAAATAGAAAGATTTTCGGTTAATAACTTGCACGGGACAGTTCCTTCTGATTAGCGACAGTTTCCTCATCACCGAACAGAAGGAGCTTGAGACTCTTTGGCAAGCTTGTAGTAAGCGACTCTCAAATTTAGTATAGGAAACGCTAAGTTATTTTCCTACCTCTACTTCGTTGAGCAAGTTTTTACAAATGAAGCGTTTCATAAAATGTTATGATTTTTGATGAAAAATAGCAACATAATTGACTTTGTTGTTTTCTATTGTAATTTCGGAAAACATATGGCTATAGAGAGACACTTGATTTAACACAAACTTGGCTCAGTCAAGAAAGGTAGTCGGAGAAACAGTATAATTTCTTCATGGCAAACTTTTGATATACATCAAATAAAGTGATGTTCTTCTTCGTTTACACATAATAATACTTTTCTCTAGACAACTGCTAAGGTGCTCCCATTTACAAAGCCAACAATTTTTCTTTATCAGCTTAATGCCAAGCAATTCATTGGGATTGGCGGAAGCCTCTTATCAAAATGGGTCCTACAATTTCGACAGATTTGCGCGGCATATGTAGACGGTGTATTGGAAATACGTATGCACTATTTGACTTTATTGTTATAGCTCCTTCTCCCCGGTCTCGCAAATATTTATTAATCATTTTTGCGGGTAGTTCAAACTGCAAAAAACTGAGTAGTGACCTTATCTTATATATAAAGCTGAATGTCTGTTTATCAGTCTGTGTGTCTGTCTATCTGTATGTATGTCTGTACGTAAGTTCCGAATAGAAAATTCCATTTCTGAACCGATCCGGACCAAACTTGGCACACATACACTTCGGGCCCTGGCGGGTGTCATAGGCTACTTTTCGTCATCGATCGATATCGATTTTATCCATTTTTTGCAAAATTTGAGCTACAGGGCTGGGAGTTGGCACAGGGGGGTAATCGAGCATGCTGATTACGAATAAAATAATGACAGGGCCGGGCGGAGCCGGGTAAGCCAGCTAGTACACCTATAATTAGCAGCAATCTAGCCAACGTTTCAAAAATTTGGGAAAAATAAATAGTGAATACGTAACTCATACAAAAAACCTTCATACACTCTGTATATTCAGTATACTATTTTAAGACTTCTGAGTCTATTTTATACGTCTGGTTCAAAGATTTTCTCCAGACCTCAGGCTATATCTTTTGCTTCTCTCAGATATCCAATTTATTCTTAGTAGCTAAAACACTTGCATGAAGCTTTCGTTCGCTTGGTATCGTAAATCAGAGCTGTACAACATTTTATTTCACTCCAGAAAAGATCATGCTTCCGATAGTAAAATTGCTGATGCTGATGCTCCTATCGCAGGTTATGGTGGAGGCGAGAGATATCGGTTGCATTGCGGATTTTATCTGCAGTGTACATTGCAGAGTTAAACAGGTAAGTTTTGGTCTTGTATTCTATCGCAATAGATCGGTTTGCTTCAGAAGTGCAAGGGAGGCTACTGCAGCGAAAAGTTGAGTTGTATATGTGAGGACTGTCCTAAAACGGCCGAATCCCGTTGAAAACGTCTGCATAAACACTTCAGCACTTACACACGAGTTTACTGAAAAACATCTGTGATTCATTTTGAAAGATGGTAAAGAATCTTGTCGATGGACTATGTACCCTTCAACATCAAGGTCAAGAGTTTACGTTCTAAGATCTTAAGTCTAAGAAGTGGAAAGCATTAAAAGCTCTAGTTGAGACTTAGCCGCGACTCAAGTGCCCTACATGAGGGCTGGCTATGTATTCTGGTTTAGAGGAGGGAGCGGAAGTTTCTCACCCGAGCCATATCTTCGCCCTAAATGATGTGCCTGCCAGGCACACCCTGGCTCGCCGTAATTAGGAGCTCCTCAGGTGACCAAGACATCGCAAGCCCCCCTGTTATCCGGTGTCGCTCCAGATGCTGAAACCAGCGTTGATTATCAGAGCACATCCTTTTAAGAATTCTTCTTTTCAACACTCATACTAAACACTGCTCTATTTGTGCGCTGAAAAGACCGTAACATTCAATTTTACCTACTTTATGCGTTCATTCTTCGTATAAAAAAATACTCGTAACTTGGCATACAAAGGAGCTTGGAGGATAGCGAAAACAGATTTGGAATCATCTTATGGCGCTCTTCAAAGTGTTATAAGGCTCATTTGTAAGGGCCACTTCGACTAATCAGTCCTCCCTTGTGAGAGACGTTGATGAGAAACGCATCTTTTTCCACCGCGGCGTTAGTGAGAGTCAGTAGAGTCAGTTTAGCCGCACAGAAGAGACGGACTAGACTGAGCTCAACGGATAAAACGCTGCAACCTACTTTTATGTCTCCGACGAAAACGATTGTTCAACTGTTAGAAAACCAGTTCGTTGAAAGAAATGGTCATAAAACGTACACCCACCCATAAAGTGAGTGTTTTTCGAATGGGCCGCGGATGTGAATGTACCGATGGGCAGAGCTTTGCACGTCGTCAACACGCCTTGAACGTGAATCGTTCGAGAACCTCTGAATTTTCAAAAATCAAAATAAAAAATGAAACAGTCGTCAATTGTCGTCACAGCAGATCAGTAAAAAGCGATTGAACTTGTCAATCAAGGAAACCAATTTGGAAACAGTAACCAGACATTGGATTAGATGACAAATAGTGACCAACGGCTGCTTTTTAGTACATAGCTGTAGAAGGATTGTTTTGACACATCATGCAAAATTTGTTGTAAGGCAGTTTGCAGGAAAATCTGGCACATAGTAATGCGTCAATTGTGGGAGCCCAATTAAGACGCTGTTTAATCTGCAGCCGAGAATTTACCAATGGCAGAAAAATCCATCTTGAAAACGGTTACCAGTATAGTACTTAACCAATTGCATCATTCGCATGCTTTCCACAGAGATCCAGCTCTGCTGAAAGGTTTCTGTACGAAATCTGGAGAAGTGTTGGGCTGGTTCAAACCTTTCAAAATTTTTGTCGCAAGTTTTCCTCTAAAAGGTTGCATGAGTGAGCACGAGTGTCGGATACCCTTGACCAAATTATTAGAACGTTAAAATTCAACATGACATGCTTGGCGAAGTGAAAATGATGCATATCGGAACGATCGCAAACAGAAAAAAAACAGCTTTCGTACAGGCGATGTCAAAAACCCATTCCCTTTTGTGCAGTCCTCGATTTGCATGCAGCGCCGCAAACCCCGTGCGCCACGTGCGCGAGCGGACGGCAGGGCATTTTGCCAACTCCCATAGACGTCATCGATCGAGGGTTGCCAAGGGCTCAAGCCGTACGCACGCGAACGGAGCGCATCGCCTTGCGATGCGTACGCGTAAGAGCTACGGACTTGTGAGCTCCTCATTAACATGCACTGTATATTTTTGAGACTACCTTACGGCAACCAATGAGCCGGAATGATCATGCATTTCACATCATTTTAAGCGCGTCAGTTACAAGCATTTGACATCATTTAGTATTACAGTTTGGAGATATCCAATAAATTCAGCGCTTATTGTTAGCATCATATATTTTAACTGGGCGTACGAGGCTCCGCCCGGCACCACATACACTTCGGATAGAAAAGCCGAAATACAACTTCGGCTGTTCACGCCGTTTCAAGATCGGAAGAATGAATGTGATGCTAGTTCAACATCTAGCACTTTTTCGAGCAAATTCTTATCTACACGCCGAACATCTTTTCAGAATTCCTTGACTTTTATGCGAGCGAGACATTCTGAAACTCACTGTTACCTTTTGTTTCGAAATGAAGTGCACTGCGTTGCTCAAGATCACGAGGATGCGGTTTCGAAGCGGATGTCTTAGGGTAAGTTATCCATAACATATGAGAGGGGGGGGGGGCTTGTAGTGCAGGTGAACAATGACCCGGGCTGGACCGGGAAAGCCAACTAGTTCGGCAGAAAAATGAGCGACTACCACTTAAAAATCTGACAATGAGTTGTATTGAGCTTGAGTTAGAAAGAAGGATTTAGCATGGGTTTGAGGATTTGTTAAAGCTTCTACAAGATCCTCTTGCTTTCTGTTTCAAAACATTTCTAGAAGCATCCCCTTTCCCAAATTTAGCACTGGTCAATAGATAAAAAAGCCTCTCGAGTAAGTTTTGGCATGATGCAGTTAATAGAAATTGCTGGAAGTACTTAACTCAATAGGTATTTTGTTTGACGCTTAAAAATCTTTGCGATTTCATTCCGTTTTTCAACCAAGTTCCAAACTTGCTCTAAAGTTAGCACGACTTCGAGCCTCAAACTTCAACTTCTGAAGCCTACAATGAAGTAAGCTTATAGTATGTAGAAGTTCACAAGACAATGTATTTGGCTAGAAAAAAATCAGTAGCATTGAGCGTTTGTTTCGGCCACGCAGACGTCATTTCTCCAAAACCACTGTTTTTACTATTGCAATCTCACATTTATTTAGTTTGTAGCTCCATAGCCTCAAAATCACTTCTATAAAAAACCCAAAAAATTTGACATGGATGCATGATCATGCAAACAATGTAGCTGCTTCATATCAAATGTTTGCGCAAGAGAGAAGCTGAGTTTTGAGGCTCAAAATCGTGCTAACTCTAAAGTAAGGTTGGAACTTGGTTGAAAACGGCACAAAAACGCGAAGATTTTCCAAGCGTCAAACAAAATACCTATCGAAAGAGCTTATTTTATCTCATAGCTTTGGTAGAAGCTAATTAGAGCGCGTAAATCACAAAAGAACGGGTATTTTTGGAGCGCAATCACTCCAAAAGCTTTAGAACATTCTGAAAAAGGTAGCGTTCCCTTTTTGAACTGCACTGAGTTCAGTGTGTAGCAGATATGTCAGACTTTGTTATTCTCTGCAAAAAATTTGGACTTAGATGATTGCAAAATGAGAAATGGACCTTTGTTTGAGGTGTTCGTATAATTATGAACCGCTATAAACTCGCATTAGGCGCAAAAACACTTCCAAGATTCACATTGATTCATTCTTATGGATCATTTACCGTTTTCGGCTGTGCTCTATCGCGTGGTTCCAACCGCTTTTTGAGTTTCCTCCAAAAAGTCTACAAACTTTCAAAATTTAAAGTGTTCGTATAATTATGAACCGCATTTTATAATCGCTATTTCCGGTTGCCCGGATAAACGAGTCTCTTCCTCTTAAAATGGGATAAAAGATTTTCTTGTAAATTGATTTACGTATTTCTATATTCGGCATATAAAGCATCTTCTGTAATGGTTGAATAGGCAGCTGAAGAGTGCTACTAACATGCAGAAGCTTCAGGTGAAAACCCCAAGCCATACAGAACTTACCGTATATGACTTTGCAACATTTTTGGTCTGTAAACTTCGAGTTCTCTCGTCTGTTTTTGCAGTAATAATGCAAAAGAATTACATATCTTGGTACTGAAATGGTGCCAAAACGAAGCGCTATTTTAAGATGCTGAACTTCCACCTTTATTCAGTTATCGAAACCTCCTTGGAGGAAATGGAATTAATAACAGCCTATATGTGACCCCCTCTATACGGATGCTCTTTTAATCAACCGTTTTGAGTTTTCAGCGATTGACAGGGAGAAGTGGTTTGAACTAGACAACTGCAGAGTAACGCTTTCGTGCAGAGGTGGTGCCCCCATAAGCGGTTTTGGGGGAACTGAGGGAACTCCTCTGGTTTACGTACACGCTACGTTTTAGTATGAGTCTACCATTATTCCTACATTCACTGGCAATGCGTTGATAGTGAATCTCCTCTATGGAGAGTTGAAGAAAATAGGTATCATCGGCTTCAAGACAGGGCTCGGCACGAGGTGGCTAGATAAAAATGGAAAAAACGTCCCCCTTGACTTTTAGGAATTTTTACGAAGTGCCCTCTGACCCTCACCCAAATTTCCTTTAAAAACCTGAAAAATGCCCCAAAATCCCCCAAAAAACGAAACGTCGACTAAAAAAAACGTCGCCAAGTCGCCAATTTCGCATTTCTCTTCGGTCACAAAAACGAAACCCCCTCTGCTTTTCGTCCCAAAAACGATATCCAGCTTGCTTGTAAGCCACCTATGCCGAGCCGTGCTCCAAGATTCGTGTGGAGGCGGGTGGCGGACTTCCTTGATTTTCAGGATGAACTTGTTAAACCTCCACGTTTTAGCATTGTAAATCGTACTCTCTCGTCAGGTTTATCCTTGAAATCAGGGAAGTCCGCAATTCGCCTCCACACGAATCTGGGACAGGGCCCGGCACAGATCGTCTGGAAGCAGGCTGGACTTCGTTTTTGAAGCAAACAGCAAAGGGGATATCGTTTTTGATGAGTAGGAACCGAGCACCAAGAATAAGCGCCATTTGGTCGAACACAAGCTTTCCGGACAGGTTATCACACGATTGACATGCTCTACCGTGTGTGGCGAAAAGTGCGCGCGATTTGAAAGCAAGGCTAAAATGAAAAAATTGCTTTTTTACAGCGTACACAGAATCATATGACACCAAAATTGGACTGTATGTATAGAAAATTATTTGCGAAAGATTTATGTAAAAAGATTTGAAAACTTATGTGAAGTAATACCTTTTCCAAAATTAGATCGTCTCCAGACGGCCACCAGACGATCTGAGATCGTCTGGAGCATATATTTTCGTCACTTCACATAAGTTTCGGATTTTTTCAGC